AAGAAGGGATCCTTTTGAAAGCCCCCACATGAAAGATTCAAAGTGACCCCCCCCACAAAAAGATTCCAATCGAAACCCTCCACGGGAGGATACCCATCGAAATTCTCCGAAAAGGATTCGTAACTAAATCATCCACATAAGGACTCCTAGTGAAATCTGTTGGAAGACAGGAGCCCCGCCATCGGCACTGCATTGGCATTGGTTTGGCAACGGTTTGGCATCGCCTTGGCATTGCGTTGGCAGTGCGATGGCAGTGCGCTAGCAGTGCGTCGGCATTGCGTTGACATTGCGCTGGCGAGTCCTACTCAAACACTTCACAGAAGGATTCCTACTGAACACCCCCACAAAAAGGATGCCTATTGAATCCCCCCACAAGAAGGATTCACGTTGAAATCCTCAACAGAAGGGTTCCATGCGAAGCCCTTCATATAATGTTTCCTATTGCAATCCCCCGAAGAAGGGTTCTTAGAAGGATTGCGATTCAAATCTACCACAAACAATTCCCCCTATTGGCATTGCATTGGTATTGGTTTGGCATTGCGTTGGCACTGCTACGGCATTGCGCTGGCGAGTTCGAATGGCTCCCACCACAGAAGGATTCCTTACCTTCCACAAGAAGGGATCCTTTTGAAAGCCCCCCACATAAAAGATTCATACTGAACCCTCCCACGGAAGGATTCCAATCGAAACCCTCCACAGGTAGGATTCCTTTTATAGTCTACCACAATGGATACCCCCCATTGGCATTGCATTGGCATTGAATTGGGATCGCCTTGGCATTGGCTTGGCATTGCGATGGCAAAGCTTTGGCATTGCGTTGGCATTGCGCTGGCGAGTCCTAGTGGCTCCCTCCGCAGACGGATTCCTACTGAAACCCTCCACAAAAACGATTCCGATTGAATCCTCCCACATGAAGGATTCCTAATGAAACCCTCCACATGAGGATCCCGATCGAAACCCTGCACATAAGCATTGCTATTGAAATCCTCCGAAGAAGGATTCGTAATGACATCATCCACAAAGTATTCTGATTGAAATTCACCGAACGAAAGGATTCCCCCATTGGCATTGCATTGGCATTGGTGTTGGTTGGGACTGGATGTGTATCGCATCGGCATGCATTGGCCTGGTGCAGGAGATAGACAAAGAGAGAGAGAGAGAGACAAAGAGAGAGAGAGAGAGAGAGAACACTAGGGAACGATATAACGAGAGAAGATGAGTATGAGGGGATCACGGCGAAAATAAAAATGACAAAAAACAATCAAAGTTTAAGGGTGAAAAAGCGTTTCACTCGATAACAAGCGTATGAAAACGACGAGGGGCTCCACAATCCCCCGGCCTCTCCCCCTCCTCCTCCCCCTCCTCCTCCTCCTACTCCTCCTCCCTCCTCCCTCCTTCCTCCTCCCTCCTCCCTCCTCCCTCTTCCTTCCTCCCCCTCCTCCTCCTCCTCCTCCTCCTCCTCCTCCTCCTCCTCCAGGGACCCCTCCCCCGCGGCCAGCTCTTCTAGGCCGTCTTGTTGGCCGGTGTCCCCCGAGGGGGCCCAGCCAGGGCCCCCCCAGAGGCCAAGAGCGAGGAGGGAGCACCTGGCGTCACGATGCGTCTCTGCGCAGCGAGAGCTCCTCCCCTCCTCCCTCCCGGGTGCAGCAAGGAGCCCCGAATCGAATCGAGAAAGTCGGAGCGGCGATCGGAGCGAATCGGATCGGCGGAAATCGGCAGCCGCGTCGGGATAAGTCGAATCGGCGGAAACCGGCAGGCTGGAAGGCCTCCATTGAGAAATCGGAATCCGAAGTCGAATCGAGTCGAAATCGGAGGCCGACAAAATCGAATCGAACCGAAGCGGAGGAATCTAAGCGAGCCCTGCACTCAGCCGCCCCGACACGCAACACGCATTCTGTAGCGTACTGACACGGAGCTCAACACGCAGATCGAAAACGCACGCCTGGCGCCGTACATACGTTCGCCAATCCGTGGGCCAACATGTGTAGCCAACACGCAACTTGTCAACATGGACGCTTTGAACACGGTACGCGCTGGTCGGAAGGAGTGGGTAGAGCCATGAAGTAGGAAGGCGTTGGAAGTAGATTGGGTTTCCGCCCGCCCCCTGACGAAGGAGAAAGGAACACCGCTGGATCCTTGAAACGGGCAGGCGCCCGAAGCAGACTGGAACCCGGGAGCCCCAGAAAAGCCCGCCCTCCGACCACCGATGGGAGCACGTGCCGCGTCCCAGCACGAGCGCATCGGGGCGGCTGCGCCCCCGCGGCGGAGGCCCCGCCCGAGGCCTCCGCTGGGGCACCCCGAGGCCGGGCCCCCCGCGGCGGCGGGCCCTCCCCGCGCGGCCACGCCCGCGCCGCCACGAGGGCCCACAGGCCCGCCGGGGCGGCCCCTCGAGACGCGGAGGCGCGGCGGGCCTCTACCGGCGAGGCCGGCGGCAGCTCAGCCGCCGATGGGGCGAGGGGGGAGGCGCCCAGGGCGCAGGGCGACGCAGGGCTGTGCACGTCCACCTCGCCGTCGCTCGGACGCCCATGTCCCGTGCGCTGCTTCGGAGTCGTGCGTGCCTCGTGTCGCGCTGCTGGCCCGGCGTGCTCCTCGCGGGTCCTCGCCGAGAGAGGTAAGCTGTGCACACGTCCGAGCGGCGCCGAGCCACTCTGCTCCCTGGCCAGGCCCATCCCTGGACCCAGCGGCGGCTGTGTGCGCCGCGCCCTCCTGGCTTGGCCAGCAGAGCGTGTGCACAGAGCCAGTGGGTTCAGGATGGGCAACGAAACATTCACGAACTGATTTCTGATTATTACGCGCTGTATTGTGTCGACAGGTAACGGCCGAAGTGTTGGACTATCATGATAGCGAAACTTTGCACACGATGCTGACAAGCATCAAGCAATTCATGCTACGTGTACTGTCAAAGGCGATTGAATGTGTCTTGTGAATGTGTTTGCCTTGCTTAATGTTGAATTAAGTGTACGGTTTCGCCGCATCTTTACATGATATTCAAGGGCGTTCGGGACGTTGTGCATTGATCGGGTTGCACTATTTAAAAGTGTTGCCTCGCGGTCAGAGAATGAGATTGCAGCGATTGATGTGTGCACAGGTTTGGACGGGGGCAAATGCATATGCAAGTTGGGCGTTCTGCCCATGTATCACTTATTTCTTGGAGTAATTAGTAGTTAATCAGCTATTGTTCTTTAACATGTTTCGAACGTAAGCGTAGTGTTCACTGGAAGAGTTTGGGGCACTATTCAGTGGATCAATGTTTCGTTAACGTTTTCCAGCAGTTTTCGCGACGGGTTTCGACAACATAGTTTTTGCTAGCGATTTGCATGTTGTGGTGGTTGTCGATTCTAGCGTAAGCGATCCTAATTTTACGCGTTTCTTCTGGAACAAAAGTTAGCATTGCACCGTTGGGGTCGTGCTTTCGCTAGAGACAGAGACCACTCTTCGCCGCGAGATTTCCGGGGCTACCGACCCATGAAGAACGAGATGGCGGAGGTTTGGGAACTCTGGAACCTCGCACTGCTTCCGAAGTGCTGGCGAGCCCCCAAGAGACCTACTTTTTGCGTTTGAGAATCCGTGGGGCCAAAAGGATTCTTCGCAGCCTTCGTGTGGAGTGCCGCAAAGTCGTTCTAGAGCCCTCCCCTGGGAGGGGGCGACGGGGGAGGGCGGTGGAGCGCGGGGCCAGGCAAGCAGGGTGCGCACGCGCCACATCTGGCATCACACGGCAGATTCGTGCCGTGCCGAACCAGGCGTTGGCTCCTGACACCGCGGGGATCGTTCAAACCTGAACGATCGGCCGCTTCCAAAACGTCAGAGATCGTTCAACATCGACTGATTCTGGGTCGCCGGCGGCGTTCAACGTTGAGCGCCAGCGGCGGGGTCGTCGCCAGTCGACACGACGCGACCCTACCGCACCCCTCTAACCCATCCCTTCCCTCTGCGCTTATACTTTCGCTATCCGCCGACGGGTGTCATAGCAGATCTGGAACCCTCGACGGGACTCCATCCTTCTATGCGCGTTCAAAGAAGGGGCGCTATGCACATTGGACGAGGAGGAGGAGGAGGAGGAGGAGGAGGAGGAGGAGGAAGTGGAGCGAGTGGGCCCGGATAGGCAACGCCTGGGAATGATCGGCCAGGGCAGGGCAGGTGGAGAATCTCTTCAGGGGCGTGGCACCTTCGAGGGCGCAAGCGCGCCCTGGACGCCACCGCGGGGCGCCGAGCTGCGCCTCGACCTCCTCGAATTCCCTCCGCCGTGGCGCGCGTGGCCTCAAAGCGGCGACGGCCGCCTGCCTGTCGTGTCCTCACGATCCCCGACGGCGAGCCTCAACGGCGACCCGCCTGCGACGACGAGCCTCAACGTGTCCGCGACGGTGAGCCTCAACGGTCGACCCGCGCCGCCAGCTGCTGGTCGACACCGCCGCGAGAGGACGTCCCGAGGGTGCGACCGCTCACGGCCCGCGTGCCGCGCGCCGGCCCTCGCAGCAAGCGGCCGCTGGCCTGGCCGCTGCACCGCATCTCGAAGGCTGGGGGAGTTCCGAGCCTTCTGAAAAGGCCCGCCCCTTCTCACTTCCCCCCCTCGTCCGCCGCCGATCCAAGAACATCTTGGGCGCTGTCGTCCCGAGCCGAACACCCATGAGGAATGGAACAAAACACGGCATACACATACACATAAACTTCCGGAACTCCGAAAAGGTGTAAGTTTGGGTTAATGCCGTCTTTTCGTCGTTCGATTCAGGTGGCACTCCCCCCGCGGCGCCATACGGCTGAGGGAAAAATTAGCAAGACCCACCCCCCGTCCGACGCAGTTCGAAGCTGGCACGTCTGAGCACTACCGCTCGGACACTCAAACTCGGAAGATCCGAAACCAGCATAGCCTCCGGAGGGGGGGAGTTCAAGCCATCAGTTATGCGCGACTGTTGCCTCATTGTTGCCAGCCCCTGTCTTGGAGGCAGCGGGGTCGTGGACGCCGACGCGCGGCACGCTGCAGGGCTCTCTCTGGGGACGGCTTTCTGCTCGCCGTCGGGGCCGCTGCTCCAGGCCTAGAGCAACACAACTGCCAGGTGGAGGAGGAGGAGGAGGTGCATGGCTGGCAGGCCAATTGCGCAAAGACGCCACGCTGCGCTGCAGAGCTCTTCTCGATCCAGGTCCGAAGCAGCTCCTGGGCTCGAGGCTGGATCCTACAAGAAAACAAAACAAAACAAAGGGAGAAGGGGGGAGAATGCAGCGGCTGCTTGGAGCAAGATGCACGTGCTGGTGGTGGGCATCTTCGGCCCACGGCCTGCCGCAACCCACAGCTCATCGATCGCCATGTTAAGGTGCTGACCCTAGTGGATGGCGTCCACAGTCCTCAGCTCCTTCGTCCCGCGCTCGATCGCCGTGGTGCTGATGCAGGACGCGATGCGGCTTGCCGCACCATCCTTCATGTCCTCGATGGTCTGCTTGGTGACCGCTTCCCGGAGGGAGCCCGCGTTCTCCATGCCGTCCTTCAGGGAGGCCTCGAACTCGGCCTTTTGCTTGTCGATGCTCGCGTTGATCTCCGCGATCACCTCGGTGGCCCGCGCCTGGGCCCTCTCCGCCTCTGCCAAGCGGCTGGTCGCCTCGTTGAGCTTGGCGATGGCGTCGTCGATGTCGCCCTGAATCTTCTTCTCGCGCGTGGCCATCGGCTCTCTGAGGAGGGGCCCGAGCAGGCAGAGGAGGCCCGCGAGGGACGCGGAGCTGTTGACGATGCCAGTCTCTGGGAGGTCGAGGATCAGCACGAAGCCGCCCCCCCAGCGGGACATATTCGCACACCTGTAACCGTCATTGATTCGGACGAATACTCAAACCTGCAAGCCTGGTAATCGCTTCGCTTCAAACTGGCATTGGCCTTCTCCCGGAACATACACCCAACAATCCCTGCGCGTGGAGAGGGCTCTGATGGATTGAAGTCGTGCACCGTGACTGAAGCTCATGAAGCCTTCGAGCGCCTTCTCGGTGGCGCCCTAGCCGCCGCACCTGGGGGCACGGCCGCCGCCGCCGCGGCCTGTTGCCTGCCGACTGCGGCAGCCAGGCCGCGGTGGAGGCAGCAGGCGGCAGTGGTGCGCGGCGAGCGCGCAAGCAAGCTCGCAGGCCGCCAAGTGGCGGCGGCGGGCGGCGCTCGCTGCAGCACCGGCTGCAAAGGGGAGGCGCCGGAAAGAAACAGGTGGTCGAGCACGGGAGGCTCGAGGCAGAATGCCTTGAGCCAAAAATGGTTGCGGAACCAAGTGATGGAGAAGGAGGAGGAGGAGGAAGAAGAGGAGGAGGCATGGAGGAGGCAAAGAAAACCCGAGAGTAGTAGCATTAGCAGCAGCAGCAGCAGCAGCAGCAGCAGCAGCAGGAGTAGTGGTAGTAGTAGTAGTAGTAGTAGTAGTAGTAGTAGTAGTAGTAGTAGTAGTAGTAGTAGTAGTAGTAGTAGTAGTAGTAGTAGTAGTAGTAGTAGTAGTAGTAGTAGTAGTAGTAGTAGTAGTAGTAGTAGTAGTAGTAGTAGTAGTAGTAGTAGTAGTAGTAGTAGTAGTAGTAGTAGTAGTAGTAGTAGTAGTAGTAGTAGTAGTAGTAGTAGTAGTAGTAGTAGTAGTAGTAGTAGTAGTAGTAGTAGTAGTAGTAGTAGTAGTAGTAGTAGTAGTAGTAGTGGTAGTAGTAGTAGTAGTAGGGTCACGCTTCGTCTATGGCCGGAAGCTTCGAACTGGTACTTGTGTACCTGTGGCCGGTACCTGTGTAATGCTTTTAATGATGATATATGGAAGCCTACTACAAACTACGGGTAGTTCACACTTGGTTTATGGCCGGATTCACGAGCGCCATGTGACTTTCAAAGGATTCCTTCGGTAATCTGTCACGTTTCTCATATTGCCCCCCAGAAGCGCGTCGGAACCCTTAAGACGCCCTTCGGGTTCCCGCGGAATTATCCTTGAGGGATCCTGAGGGATTCTGAGGGATCCTGAGGGATTCTGAGGGATCTTGAGGGATCCTGAGGGATCCTGAGGGATCCTGAGGGATCCTGAGGGATTCTGAGGGATCCTGAGGGATCCTGAGGGATCCTGAGGCATCCTGAGGCATCCTGAGGGATCCTGAGGGATCCTGAGGGATCCTGAGGGATCCTGAGGGATCCTGAGGGATCCTGAGGGATCCTGAGGGATCCCGAGGGATCCTGAGGGATCCTGAGGGATCCTGAGGGATCTTGAGGGACCCTGAGGGATTCTGAAGGATTCTGAGGGATTCTGACGGATCCTGAGGGATTCTGATGGATCCTGAGGGATTCTGACGGATCCTGAGGGATTCTGACGGATCCTGATGGATTCTGAGGGATTCTGAGGGATCCTGAGGGATTCTGAAGGATTCTGAGGGATTCTGAGGGATCCTGAGGGATCCTGAGGGATCCTGAGGGAGGGATTCTGAGGGATCCTGAGGGATCTGAGGGATCCTGAGGGATCCTGAGGGATCCTGAGGGATCCTGAGGGATCCTGAGGGATCCTGAGGGATCCTGAGGGATCCTGAGGGATTCTGAGGGATTCTGATGGATCCTGAGGGATCCTGAGGGATCCTGAGGGATCCTGAGGGATCTTCCTGAGGGATCCTGAGGGATTCTGAGGGACCCTGAGGGACCCTGAGGGATCCTGAGGGATTCTGAGGGATCCTGAGGGATCCTGAGGGATCCTGAGGGATCCTGAGGGATCCTGAGGGATGAGGGATCCTGAGGGATCCTGAGGGATCCTGAGGGATCCTGAGGGATCCTGAGGGATCCTGAGGGATCCTGAGGGATCCTGAGGGATCCTGAGGGATCCTGAGGGATCCTGAGGGATCCTGAGGGATCCTGATCCTGAAGGATTCTGAGGGATTCTCAAGGATCCTGAGGGATCCTGAGGGATCCTGAGGGATCCTCAGGGATCCCGAGGGATCCTGAGGGATTCTGAGGGACCCTGAGTGACCCTGAGGGATCCTGAGGGATCCTGAAGGATTCTGAAGGATTTTGAAGGATTCTGAGGGATTCTGACGGATCCTGAGGGATTCTGAAGGATCCTGAGGGATCCTGAGGGATTCTGAGGGATTCTGAAGGATCCTGAGGGATCCTGAGGGATCCTGAGGGATCCTGAGGGATACTGAGGGATCCTGAGGGATCCTGAGGGATTCTGAGGGATCCTGATGGATCCTGAGGGATCCTGAGGGATCCTGAGGGATTCTGAGGGATCCTGAGGGATCCAGAAGGATTCTGAAGGATCCTGAGGGATCCTGAGCGATTCTGACGGATCCTGAGGGATTCTGACGGATCCTGAGGGATTCTGAGGGATTCTGACGGATCCTGAGGGATTCTGAGGGATCCTGAGGGATTCTGAGGGATCCTGAGGGATCCTGAGGGATCCTGAGGGATCCTGAGGGATTCTGAGGGATCCTGAGGCATCCTGAGGGATTTTGAGGGATCCTGAGGGATCCTGAGGGATCCTGAGGGATCCTGAGGGATCCTGAGGGATCCTGAGGGATGCTGAGGGATCCTGACGGATCCTGATGGACCCTGAGGGATCCTGAGGGATTCTGAGGGATTCTGAGGGACCCTGAGGGATCCTGAGGGATCCTGAGGGACCCTGAGGGATCCTGAGGGATCCTGAGGGATCCTGAGGGATTCTGAGGGACCCTGAGGGACCCTGAAGGATCCTGAGGGATCCTGAAGGATTCTGACGGATCCTCAGGGATCCTGAGGGATTCTGAGGGATCCTGAGGGATCCTGAGGGATCCTGAGGGATCCTGAGGGATTCTGAAGCATTCTGAAGGATCCTGAGGGATCCTGAGGGATCCTGAGGGATACTGAGGGATACTGAGGGATTCTGAGGGATCCTGAGGGATCCTGAGGGATCCTGAGGGATTCTGAGGGATCCTGAGGGATCCTGAGGTATTCTGAGGGATTCTGAGGGATCCAGAAGGATTCTGAAGGATCCTGAGGGATCCTGAGGGATTCTGACGGATCCTGAGGGATTCTGAAGGATCCTGAGGGATCCTGTGGGATTCTGACGGATCCTGAGGGATCCTGAGGGATCCTGAGGGATCCTGAGGGATCCTGAGGGATCCTGAGGGATTCTGAGGGATCCTGAGGGATCCTGAGGGATCCCGAGGGATCCTGAGGGATCCTGAGGGATCCTGACGGATCCTGAGGGATCCTGATGGATTCTGAGGGATTCTGAAGGATCCTGAGGGATCCTGAGGGATCCTGAGGGATACTGAGGGATCCTGAGGGATCCTGAGGGATTCTGAGGGATCCTGAGGGATCCTGAGGGATCCTGAGGGATCCTGAGGGATTCGGAGGGATCCTGAGGGATCCAGAAGGATTCTGATGGATTCTGAGGGATCCTGAGGGATTCTGAAGGATCCTGAGGGATCCTGCGGGATTCTGAAGGATCCTGAAGGATCCTGAGGGATCCTGAGGGATTCTGAGGGATTCTGAGGGATTGTGACGGATTGTGACCGATCCTCAGGGATCCTGGAGGATCCTGAAGGATCCTGAAGGATTCTGAGGGACCCTGAGGGATTCTGAAGGACCCTGAGGGATCCTGAGGGATCCTGAAGGATTCTGAAGGATGCTGAGGGATTCTGAAGGATTCTGAAGGATTCTGAGGGATCCGGAGGGATTCTGAAGGATCCTGAGGGATCCTCACTGATTCTGAAGGATTCTGAAGGATCCTGAGGGATCCTGAGGGATTCTGAGGGATTCTGAGGGATTCTGAGGGATTCTGAAGGATCCTGAGGGATCCTGAGGGATCCTGAGGGATCCTGAGGGATCCTGAGGGATTCTGAGGGATCCAGAAGGATCCTGAGGGTCCTGAGGGATCCTGAGGGATCTTGAGGGATCCTGAAGGATTCGGAAGGATCCTGAGGGATCCTGAGGGATTCTGAGTGATTCTGAAGGATCCTGAGGGATCCTGAGGGATTCTGAGGGACCCTGAGGGATCCTGAGGGATCCTGAAGGATTCTGAAGGATTCTGAGGCACCCTGAGGGATCCTGAGGCATCCTGAGGCATCCTGAGGGATCCTTCAGGATCCTGAAGGATCCTGAAGGTTCCTGAGGGATCCTGATGGATTCTGAAGGATTCTGAAGGATCCTGAGGGGTCCTGAGGGATTCTGAGGGATTCTGAAGGATTCTGAGGGATCCTGAGGGATCCTGAGGGATTCTGAGGGACCCTGAGGGATCCTGGGGGATCCTGAAGGATTCTGAAGGATTCTGACGCATCCTGAGGGATCCTGAGGGATCCTGAGGGATCCTGAGGGATTCTGAGGGATCCTGAGGGATCCTGAGGGATCCTGAGGGATCCTGAGGGATCCCAAGGGATTCTGAGGGATTCTGAGGGATCCTGAGGGATCCTGAGGGATCCTGGGGGATCCTGAGGGATCCTGAGGGATCCTGAGGGATTCTGAGGGATCCTGAGGGATTCTGAGGGATCCTGAGGGATTCTGAGGGATTCTGAGGGATTCTGGAGGATCTTGAGGGATCCTGAGGGATCCTGAGGGATTCTGAAGGTTTCCGAGGGATCCTGAGGGATCTTGAGGGATCCTGACGGATCCTGAGGGATCTTGAGCGATCCTGAGGGATCCAAAGGGATTCTGAGGGACCCTGAGAGGTCCTGAGGGATTCTGAAGGATTCCGATGGACCCTGAGAGGTCCTGAGGGATTCTGAAGGATTCCGATGGATCCTGAGAGGTCCTGAGGGATTCTGAAGGATTCCGATGGATCCTGAGGGACCCTGAGGGATTCTGAGGGATCCTGAGCGGTTCCGAGGGATTCTGAGGGATCTTGAGGGATCCTGAGGGATCCTCAGGGGTTCCGAGGGATTCTGAGGGATCTTGAGGGATCCTGAGGGATCTTAAGGGGTCCTGAGGGATCCTGAGGGATCCTGAAGGATTCGGGGGGGTCCTGGGGGATCCTGAGGCATCCTGAGGGATTCTGAGGGGTCCTGGGGGATTCTGAGGGATCCTCCTCGCCTCCTCGTCAGGAGGAGACGGAGGA